TTCCTTGTTAATCTTTCAATCCTCTCTGCACCTCTAATTCCCATTAACTCTTTTTTTCTCTTTCTCTCTTCTTGTTTCTATCCATCCCCCGCCTCCTCTCTCCACCTTCCACAGCTTTCTTCAGCGTTGATGTTTGACGCTGTGCACGTGGTAGTGGGGGCAGTGAGGGAACTGAACCGCAGTCAGGAAATTGGAGTGAAGCCACTCAGCTGCACCTCACCTCAGATCTGGCAACACGGGACCAGTCTTATGAACTATCTGCGCATGGTAAAGCTCCATATTTACTATATGTCCAAAGCAGGAAACAAGATGTAACATTTGATATCAGACATCAGTTTAATCTTCTTTTTACATTCAAGCTTTTCTTAACATCCTTGAGTAAACTGCGACTCCTATTTATTAACGCTAGTAAGATTAGTGTTGCTGCAATTAGCATTTATTTTTAGAGTAGGTTAAACTTGAGAAAACACAGAAAATACTGTTTTAAAATTGCTATTCTACAAAGCCTCAGGTGACATCTTCAATTAGAGCTTGAAACAGTTACCGCACTTGGAGTACTGAGTCGATGGAAATAAACCTACCATAATTTTTATAGCCAGTTAATTATTGGAAAGACTAAATATGAGCTGTTTCCAGCCATAAAAAATTGAGGATTTTCCTTATGTGAAATTAAACTGACTCTTAATGTTTGGGAATGTTGGTTAGCAAAAACGAAATATCATTTTGTGACCATCTGCCGCTCCCATCAGCACGTTAATGATCCACCCCACTCGCTGCTCACGATGTGGATTTTGATCTCAGACACACACCTGTCACATTTTGTGCCTGTAACTAGGTTACAGTGTTGGACAAATTATTCAAAACCTCCTTTATGATGTTTTCTGCTAGAGCTGAGTTCTCCAAGACTACATTTGGAGAACACACACAGAGAAAAACAGACTCCCAGGGGAAAAACAACAACAAACAGTTAGTTTGATAAGTATTTGGACAATAACACAATTCTTGTGATTGTGTCTTTGTACACCGCCACAGTGGATTTTAATTCAAACAATTAAAATGTGATTGAAGTATAGACTTTAAGCTTTAATTCACAGGGCTTAACACAAATGTCACATTAATTGTTTAGGAATTACAGACACTGTCAAACACAGTTCCCCTTGTTCAGAGGCTTAAAAATAATTGGATCAAATAACACAATTTCAAATTTGAGAATTGCTTTTAATACATGGCTGAAAATCCTTTGACTCCCAGATATCTGGAACCCATGGACATCATCAAATGCTGTGTTTCCCCTCCCGGGATGCTCTGCCATGGTTTATCTGGAGCCACCTACACTTGCTGCTTGTTTGTGGGGCTCCCTGCACTCCCTGGTTTTACCTTCAGTGACTGAAACACTGCTCTGATGACCTGTGATCACGAGATTTGGAGACTTGGCTACTCACAAATATCCCATTTCTTTGCCTTGGGATGCTTTTGCAGTTTGCTTCGGGTCATTATCCATTTGCGCAGTGAAGGACCGTTCAATCAGTTTTTCAGCATTAGGCTGAATCTGAGCAGAGAGCGTAGCCCCGTACACTTCAGAATTCATCCTGCTACTTCTATCTGCAGTAACATTATCGATAAACACCAATAATGTGGTTCCCATGGCAGCCATGCATGCTCATGTCGTATGCTTCAGATGATGAGCTGTTTCTCTCTTCAATACTGATGAAACAAGTTCTTCATGTTTCATCAGTCTGTAGAATGGTTTTCAAACCAAACTCTTTCAGATGTTTTCTCTCCAATCTTGCCTTGTTGTTCTTGAGTGTAACCAGTAGTTTGCAGCTTGTTGTAAACCCTCACAAAGGTCTCTCTTGATTCTGTCTTTGATAATGACACGGCTATTTCCTCAAGAGTGTTCTTGATTGGTTTGATGTTGTGAAGTTGCTTTTCTTAACCAAGGAAAAAATATGCTCATCTACTTTATCTGTCTTTCAGGCCTATTATTAATAATGATAATAGTAATAAAAACAATAATGACAATAATAGCTATTTTATAGCACTTTTTACCATTGCAAAGTGTTTCACAGTTCGAATAAAAACCATGAATTAAAGATAAATATGAATGTTGTAGCATACAGACACGTAGTCAAACACTTGGTCTTGCATTCATTAATACAAACACACTTCCATACACACATTAGATGTAAATTATGGCCAAAGAAAGATGCTTTTTCAGATCACCTCTCTGACTTGCATTGGCATCTCGTTGGACCTCATACTGAGAGTTCAAGAAAACGGATAAAAACTACAATCAACCTCCACTTTTATCTGCTTAACTTGTCAAAGGAACACGGCTCATCTGGCAATGAAAACTGCTTGTCAAGCATCCAGTTACCTTTGGACCTCTGAAAATGTTAATGTAATACTTATTTAAACTCCTTGAATTAAAGCTGAAAGTCTGCACTTCAGTCACGTATTGAATGTTTGATTTAAAAGCCTCTGTGTTTGTGTAAAGACCCACAATTACAAAATTCTCCAAGAACTCGCTACAAAAACTTGGTACTTTGTAGCATATAAAAAAACTGAATGAAAAATCCAATAAATAGACTTATTCAATCTCCAAACATAGGTGTAGTATAAAGACACGCCACAGTAGTTTCTACACCGTCAAGATCACATTTTACCATAAAGACACACAAAAGAAACAGACAGATAAAAATGATGGCTTCTCCTCTTCATAGTGATTAAAAGCAGAGAAAAGCAAAGATGCTACCACTTGAGAAGGGATTGCATTAGCAGCATGTGTTCAGAAAAGACTCATAATTATTCATGACTCGTCATTTTGTTTAGTTTTCTTTTAACTGAAATATTGATAAATGAGAAGAGTACAGCTGAAATGTGTATCATCCTCATCTCATGTTGCATGTAACCTCTGTGTTTTGTTGTTCTTTGTCATCTCCCATCTCTGGTCGTCTGTTTCTCTCATCGACGACCTGTTGTCAAGGCAGCTCGAGTCTCATCTCTCACTGCCCCCGCCCCACCGGCCCGACATCTGTCTTTGTTAGTCAACATCATGGTGTGCTCCATCTTCAGCGCTGCGCCATTCATCATAGTTCTCGCTTACTGTGCCAGCACCTGGCTTTTGAAGAGAGGGAGCTGAGCTGTGAGCTGCAGGTCTGAGTCTTATTAGAGAGCTCTTGACCCTCTCTGCTGCTCTGCCTGAGCCTCTCGTCAGTCAGTTTCTCCTAGTTGATCCAAAACTGATCATCCTTGTCTAGTCCAGCCTCAGATGCTTTCTCTGCCTGTCTTAGTCTTTTTCCCTCTCTTTCCTCCTGATCACTGGTGATACTTTCTGTCTAACCATGACCGCTAGTGAGAAGAAGTATGTTTGCTTAATGCAGAATGCTGGCTTAGTTTATTTCTCCACATCTTTTCATGTTTTCTGTGTTTTCCACTCTCTGTTTTTCTTACCTTTCCTTCTCTCCTTCATGCTTCTGTCATACTTCCTCACCTCACTCTCTGTCTACCTGCCAGGTGGAGTACGATGGTTTGACAGGGCGAGTGGAGTTTAACAGCAAAGGTCAGAGGACCAACTACACCCTGCGGATCCTGGAGAAACACAGAGGAGGCCACAAAGAGGTCAGAAGTCACCTGCTATCATGCAGCAGCCAGGTCACATTGCCCTCAGGTTCTGGGTTAGTTACAGGTCACTTGTCTCATTTCAGAAAGCCTGCAGCGGCGTTTAACACGAGGTCAGCTTCATCACAAACTCCACTGATAGCAACCATATCTTTACTCTGTGATATACGTTTTATCTGGCAGCATTTTACTTTTTACCTGCTGTCAGATGCGGCTCATGTTTGAACAGTGGTTTCAGTTTGAATTAAATCTACATTTCACTGATTACAAATGTGGAGTGTTAAAGCACGGGAGCTATTTTCCTAAAGATTTGCTCGATTATTTGTTTTCTGATCTAAAAATATAAAACCTCTGTGTCATAAACGACACATTTATTTTCTTTTTATGTTTGCAAACAATAGCTTGACATTGGTTTGCAAAAATCTGCGTTTGATATTTGCCTTAAGCTCAGTGCACAGCAGACAGGTGTGCAGCTCTGCTCTGGTGTTTGTTTTTGTCTCGTATAGAACTGGATTTGCTTTAGGCTTAGTTTTAATCCGTATTTGATTTGGACTCTGTCCTTAATTGAACTCTGAGCTGGATTGTAGCTTGCAATAAGCTACACTAATGTGATCAATGATGGTTCCTTGAAAATCTTGTGCTCATCTTTTTTCACAGAAATGGATCAGAGGTGTAGGTGTAGTCTAACAATCAGATAGGTTTGAGTACATTAAAGGCTGGGCCATGAATCAATATCATCTCCCATTCCCTTTCAACAGAAATGTACCTTCACAGTACGGCCATGTTGGACAGGAGTAGAACCGAAGTTAGCAATTTTAATGAGCTAAGTTTTCACAGTGAAATGCAAATAAAGCACAGCTCATGTGGAGAACTCGGGGGACACTCAATTAAAACAATTAAAACAAAAAGCACACTCTTAACAGAAGTGTCAAAACTTACCTAACTTGTCTTGTTAAAATGAAGAAAAAATGAATTCTGTGCTCCCTTTCCTACTCTAAACAAACCAAGAGTATAGAATAGTTTTTCTAAACAAAGTGTAGCCTTAACTGTGGTAGAAGGAATATCAATGAGCAGAGAAAACAGGTTCACCATTGGCACGGTCTCCAGGCTGCAGCAACAGATTACAAAACTTCAAAGAGACTAGAATTCACTGACAAGCAGCGTGCACCAAACTACAACCGTCCTCTCGAACAGAGACACGCTCAAAGGGGCGGCACGGTGGCTCTAAATCACAGGAACAAGTGAAGGCACCATTTAGCAGCACACTCTAATCAGCATTTAAAGCCAGAATATGGGAACAAACTAATTAACGCTAAAAGTGAAAACATATATTTAATGTGCCCCTGCTTTAACTTTATTTGACTGGCAGTGTGTAGATATAGTTATTGGAAAGCAAACACTGAGTATTGTGGATGATACACAGCAATGTGTAGCAGGAAAAACACTGTGTTTACTTGACAATGAATATAATTGAGCAATAGTGTTTTTTTTAATTGCTGAATTTGTAATAATAATAAAAATAACTTTTTAAAGTCTCATGCTTCCAGTTTGATCTCTTGAACTAGTCAAGCACAGGCCACAGCAGATTAGTTTAGGCTAGTTGGACAATGCTACCAAACTGTTGGCAGGCCCAGCAGCAAATGAGGTGTTCAGGAGCATTTTGGTACATTATTGTGACAATGCAGTCCACATGAGTAAGCTAGAAGGAAAGGTGAGGGCAGGTGGAAATCTAAGTGCATTCCACCTGCATTCACTAAATGAAGTATACACACCACTGCAGGGGAATTACGCTGCAGTTCATTGGCTGGAGGAAACACTTCTTTTTCACCTCCTCTTAATGTCTTCCTAGGCTCTGCACTTGGCCAGCTGTTTTCCATGTTAACACAAAATGCCACCTGCTACATATACTTAGAGGTAGAGTTTTACTTAGTTGAGTGTTAACTCGAGGTAATGAACATTTTAACGCTGCTCCTCCCCCCTCTCTGCACAGCGGCACCCACACTCCAGGCAGGCAGCGGTGGATCACAGATAAAAAAACTCCTCTTAAATGTCAGGGCAGGATAAAGAGTGTCACAGGAAAGCTGTGATTCTGTCTGTGGAGTCATTACCTCTTCTTTGACCTATTGAAAGATGTACAGTAATATCTCCTGAAGAAATACCTCTGCGAGCTGCTTTTCCACCCAGCGGATTGGTTAGGTCATAATCACACACTTATGTACCTAAGTGACTTTACAGTCTCCATAAAATGGAAATATGGGAACAGTATTTATGCAATTTAAAAAAGGTGTGCGTAAGGGAAAAAAAAATTACAGTGGAACTTCTGATCATGAATGCCTTTCATTACCGCCTTTGCCATCTTGTCCCAGCTCATTGCTCTGCTTATAAACAGGAGCTTTTTTTCCCAAAGTGGTGCATAGTACTGCGAGTACATATACGGCTCCGTGGGGAACAATTAACTCGTTATGCATATGCAGAATCTAACAGTGCGGAGCCCAAGTCCCAAAACATGAAACGTGCAAAAGGTGTTTTTAACAATAAAACAGCTGCTGTATATTATTTATCTAACAATAACAGCTTATTTTTTGTCACGCTTCTTCTTCATGTTAGATCGGTATCTGGTACTCAAACAACACCCTGGCAATGAACTCCACCAGTCTGGATATTAATGTCTCAGAGACGCTGGCAAACAAGACCCTCATTGTCACCACCATACTGGTAAGGTCACGGCTGCTCTCTGACGCTCCACATTAGTGAGATCAGAGTTGTTTTTTTGTTGCTTCGCAGGCTGTGCCGGAGCTCGTGCTGTGTTGTGGTCTGTTTCTGATAATTTTGCTGTCGCCGCTGTAACTGTCATAGAAACTGACAGATCACCGAGGGAGATGTGTAACTAAAAACCAGACTGCTACAGTCCTGGTCTACTGATTATGTCCAAACCCAATAAGCTGTCTCCTTGTAGGGTTTGGACATATGATTGATATCTACAGGTTGGTGTAGAGATGTGAAAGAAACACCCAGAAAGATAGATTCAAATTCACTGAATCCTAAAATACTGTTAACATCCTGTGATAGCACACTGTGTTAGCTAATTAGACTTTTCTAAATCAGTCTGTTGATTGTTGATGATGCGTAACTGTTGAAGCCAAATTTCATAACAGCGAACATTACGCCGTTTATGGGGGAAATTAAAAATAAACATGGAAAACATCTGAAGCAGCTCGAGCTTTAGGACAAAACAAGAAAGAACAAAATAAGGAGAGGAAAGGGAAAGAAAACATCTTGTTTCTGTTTCTTAGGTTGTGTCAGATATGAAGATGTTTAGCAGTAAAGAAAAAGCCATTTTGCTGTATTCTCCCAAGATGTAGACAAATTCACTGTTGTTTGTGTGTTAGAGGGTTTGGGCTGGTTTAGACACATGATGCAAGCTTTATGAAACAATTGTTGTTGTTTTTTTTTTATGTCAATACATTTGGCGCACTGCTCAGATCTGCAAGAACACCGCCTGCCTTCCCTTGATTCCCTGGTTTTTCTGCGTCGATCCATTTCGTGGCTAGACAGTGGTTACTGAATGGTTTTTTCTACCCTTACCTATGTCTGTAGCTATCTTCCACAATCCAATTTATGTCTTTTAAACCAATTTAGTATTGGACTTCCATAACTGTAGGGGACTCACAAGAGGGAGATAAAAATGGTCTAAATTGATTCTGCTCAAGCTGAGATATCTTGACTTTTAGCACTGGGCAAGCTCCAAGAACAACAACTCTAAAATTCCCAAGATGCATCTGTGTATTGTTCTTTAAAAAAAGCTTTCTAGCCTTTTCAGTTAGGAAAAACTAATTAATGCACCTTTTGATAAGTAAAATGATTACAATGTTAAATGTCTTCTCTTTTAAGTGCCTTTAATTTGAAATGACTGCCAGAGTTATCTTTGAAGACACAAATTCAGGCTTTTACAAAATTGTCTGTGATTCCCTAATAGAAAAGTGCTGGCATTCCCATGTCGCTGGAAAAATGGTTATTTGGCTTGTTGCGAAGAACACAATACCATACGTGACTGTGGAGTAAATATAAAGCCAGTTAGTGCAGAATAGCATAGCGCAAACACTGCAAAGTATTGAGGTTTCTCACATGACATCATGGACACATTACGCCACCATACTGGATGTGAGAAAGCTACTGGTTGCTAGGGAAACCTGTATTACCAGACTGGTTGCCTGTACTGTAGTTCCTGTAGGTTTCTGGACTTTGCTGGATGAAATTGGTTGCAAAGAAGATGGTGCGCCAGAAACTTTCTAGCAGTTACTTTGTTTCTTAACAGGTTGCCATGGATGCCTGTAGCTTTTCACATACTTGCTAGTACTGTACTCAGCAAGCGGTAGTACAGCTTGATAAAGCCTGACACAAACCAGAAATAGAGATGGCTTGCCTTCAAAGTAAAAAGTTTTGCCTCAGCACTGCAGTTAGCGTGTTTCAAAGGGCACAACTTTTACTCCATTTCCAGCTTGCATCCACTTTTCAGTTTCACTACAGCTTGGAGAGTAGCTGTACTGTGTTTGTAGGACGTCCGTCACTTCCATGCGAACTACAACTGCAGCAGAATGCAAGTTGAGCTGGGTTTGGTGATTTGGCAACTTCTAGCAACCACTTGAAAATGAGATGAGATGAGATGATGAGATAGCCTTTATTTGTCAGTTGCAGTTGCCCACAACCGAGATGACAGACCTTGCCGACCGTACATACAATACACAAACATCACATTGGGGAAACAGGTCAGGCTAGGTAGCAAGGGAAAAAAAACCTCGAAATGTGTAACACAAAAGGATAATACAGGAATCCACAGGTATCAACACACCATAGCACAATGAAACACAGACAAGCAACATGGGAGAGTATTCCAGTGTGTACAGCTGATCTGGGACCGCTGCAATCTTCTATTGCGCCTCCAGCTGATCCGGTGTCCACATCGGATGGGAGGTAAGCATGGGAGGAGGCGTTGGATTCGGGGGAGGGAGGGTGATAGTGAGGGTGTATCAGTATCAGTGTACATGTTTTGTCCGTGTTCAGCTGAGAGGAAGTGTCACCACGTCCGGTTAAGCAAGGTCAACAGTGTCCAGTGGACCCAGGTGGCCTTGAAGGAGGTACAAAGAGTTCTGACAACAATCCTTTTATCATGGGAAGAATTTGTTGTTCCAGTCAGCTTCAACCTTGGCAGGCCTTCAGCTGGCGCCAGGGGGGCTGCATGAGTGGAGATGGTGAATGTTTGAGTTTAGTGCGAACAACTGCATCCAATTTTTACAGTTGGTCTAATGTCCGTTACTGGTCACCAATTATCTCAATTCCCGTTGTTCTTCTCCAAGATCTTATCCATATTGTGTTCAAAACTCAGTCTGAGTACTCACACCCCTGCCAATCGTCTATCATGTCGGCCAGCCTTATGGGATTTTGAACAGCTGTAGCCGCTTCCTGTTCTTTGATAAGCAAGACCAAGCAGGTCCAAGCCAGCTTCAATCAGCCCGAACTCTGTTATTGTGGTTCCAAATTGGTAGATGTCGTTCATTGTCCTCCATCGAGAGTGTCGCCAGACACACGACGCAACCGACCATCGAGTATCTGGCAGCAAATGTCTCCGCAGGACAATCGGGTTCTCCCAAGCCCAGCAGGGTGTCAATTCCGTTACGGGACCAGTTGATCAAATCCATAATTCTTTAGGTTTTAGAGAACAAGACTGGGAAACTCTTTGAGGGTTAGAGTTAGACGAGACTAGACAAACACATAGAAGCAGCAGCAGGGAAGATAAGAGAGGGAGAGGGGGAAAGATGCGTCTGCCTCCTCCGAGAGCCAAAGAGAATCAGGGAATACTCATTTTTCCTCATCTGGTGGTTGCCATATGGTCTAGTCCCAAGTGACTGTGGGCTTACTCACTTGATCCTTCATTGTCACCATTATTGTCACACCAAAATAGCAGATAAGTTAACATTATGTTGTCAGTGGTCATCTTTCTGCATAAACCTCAATATAAGTGAACTTTGAATGAGTTGTAGGTGAAACTCATTACGAGTTTCATCGTGTTTCCGGCCTTTTGCTTAGCTGTCTTTTATTTTTGTGAACTCAGCTCTGATCCAGGCAGATCAGCTGATCTCAGTGCTGGCCCTCTTTGGCTCTAGTGTTCACCTGACACCCTCCTACACATCCAATTGGCTATTTCATTCAGGGCACGCCATTGAAGCCTGCAGACCAATCCTCAGCAAATCCTCTTTTTCTTTCATGCTATATCTGACATAATCAGCGCTGTATCTTTCTTCTTTGATGCCTGCTTTGTTTTGTGCTGAGGTTCTTGCTGCTGCTCTGCGGGCCTCTGACGTTCCACATATGTGTATGAAGGATGGCGATATCCCACAACAGAGCTATGTCATCAAACATAAAATCCTGCAGATAGAAATATAAATCTCCCTTTGGCTGTAGTGGTCCTGACTTGACACTCTAACTTTTTTCCTTTTTTGTGTGTCTTCATGCCAGAAAGCAAATAAGCATATTCCCCCAAACTTTCAAGCCATTGCTTTAATCTAGCAAATAATCTCTGATCAAGCAGATATTTATAGTTTTGGACTGAGACCTCGTCATGTGTCCCTCATGTTCAGGAGAACCCATATGTGATGCGTAAAGACAACTACCAAGACTTCCAGGGAAATGACCAGTATGAGGGCTTCTGTGTTGACATGCTGAGGGAACTGGCAGACATCTTGAAATTCTCCTTCAAGATCAAGCTGGTGGATGATGGCCTGTATGGGGCCCCAGAGCCCAACGGCTCTTGGACTGGCATGGTTGGAGAGCTAATCAACAGGGTGAGTACTCTCACTCCCTCTCCAAGTGTTACACACACACAAACATAGACACATGCACATGCACACTCCAGAAACACAGAAACATGCACTAATATTCTAAGCAGTTTCCCTACAAAAGGAGGCGTATAATGAACAGACAACTATGTATGCACACACTGCCACACCACACACACCACACACACACACTCACACTTGCTCTGTAGCCCCAAACCACAACTCTGCTGTAACTTCCCATGTTTCAAATTGCCCTCAGAGGGGAGTAAGACTCTTATCTAGGACAAAAGCTGACTTGATAATTCCCCAAAAGAGAGTGGTAACATAGCCTAAAAATCGTCTGCACCATCTTTCCTCTGTGTAACCCCCCTCCCCATTTCTTTCTGTCCAGGCCTAGTGTGCTTCTGATAGACACTCTGGTTGAGGCAGGCTAATGAGAGCCCCTCTCTGCTTAATTACCATACGGTATACTTCAATTACCAGGCTGTGGTCCCCATGTGGGGCATGCCACACTGGTGCTCCCCCAGCTCTCCACGCTTCCTCTCTCCCTGCCCTCCCCACTGCCTGATCACTCAGCTCTAATTAGCGGTCCATGTTCATCAATTAGCTTTTAATGGAAGAGATGGAGAGGAGGCAGTGCAACCAGAGACCTGCAAGGTTTTATACAGGTGGAAAGACCAGTCACCCAGTGCTTACTCGCAATTAGCCTCATTTTTATGGTGGGTAATGGGTGTGAGGCAGAGTGCACTTCTGTATGTTTCTGCAAATGTATTTTCAAGTGCATAGTCAAACTTTTAATTTTTCATCATTCAAATAAACATTTTGAACAAGAAGAGTGCTACATTAGTCCGTCTATTTTGCACTCCTACCTGACCATTTGTTGTTGTTTTTTCTTGCCTCTCATTCACTTTTTCTGTCTCTCGCTCTCTTTCCACAAATCTATCTTCACAAATCTTCCAGAAAGCAGACCTGGCCGTGGCAGGTTTCACCATCACATCAGAAAGAGAGAAAGTTATCGACTTTTCTAAGCCGTTCATGACCCTGGGGATCAGCATCTTGTACAGAGTTCAACTGGTGAGGGTGTTATCTAGGCCTGTGCACACACTGGCTGATACTCGCTACAGATCTTGTGCTGGATTTTATTTCTTTTACCTTCACTGTTTTATTGCCAACTGGGTCATACAGAGAACGACAACTTGCACTTGTTAAAATGAAGCTTAAGGAATCTTATCTTCGAAGCTGATGATTGTATGTCTGCAGTATCCTGCAGGCTGCATCCACTAAGTCCACACTGAAATTTATAGGTATAATTCATATTGCTCAATAAGTCAGTGTGCTGTAACTGGGCAACAGCTTTACATTGCTAATGAGGCTTTGGATCTAAGCCAAGTATGCTTCAGCACCAGGCATTGTGAAACAGAGTGTTTATGGATTGTAGCATTAGTGTATCAAAGCACTGCAGACTTTAGTATCAAAGTGCAGTGAAGGACACTGCCCTCCTGTGGTGCAAAGGGGACTCTCCCTGACAACTGAGACATTGAGACCTTGTTTTCTAACAGATTGTAGCTTCCTGTATGTCCATTAGTCACCATCTGTCTCTGCTTCTACAGCTTTCTACTTCTCTTTCTTCTCTTCTATGCACCAGGGTCGGAAGCCCGGTTATTTCTCCTTTCTCGATCCCTTCTCTCCAGCCGTCTGGCTCTTCATGTTGCTCGCCTACCTGGCTGTCAGCTGTGTGCTGTTCCTGGCTGCAAGGTCAGTGCATTACATCACACACTGTACTGATTGTCTGCAGTTCACATCAGAGCTCCATCATTTTTTATCTTGTTGAACACAAGTCACCTGTCACATATTGAAATTTCTTACCTTATGCAACCTACCGCAGACAGTTTTGACAAAGGTCGAGTGACTGATTGGAGATGACTTGAGTGATGTGACAGAGGTACATTACTGTGTTGCAGCTTGTCCTCGAGGTCACCTTACTTTACCTTTATTTTTCGCATCAGGTTAAGCCCCTACGAGTGGTACAATCCTCACCCATGTCTTCGTGAGCGCAGAGACATGCTGGAAAACCAGTACACTCTGGGAAACAGCTTGTGGTTCCCTGTTGGAGGCTTCATGCAGCAGGGATCAGAAATAATGCCCAGAGCTTTATCCACCAGATGTGTTAGTGGAGTGTGGTAAGTTATAGTATGATTACAATGCATTTGTTTGTGTTTGTCAACCAGTATAAAGTCCACGCCTACTCAGAAATATGTCTTGCATTCATTGTCTCTTCACTCGTAAGTTTGTCCTTCACTGTTTAGAAAGCTGTTTATACTGAGTTGACATTAGTAGGCTGATTACGGATTCCTCCGCTGAAGGGAAAAGTTTCTACAATATAAATTTAAGACGCGGCTGGATGTGGAAGTGAGTGAGGAAGGAGTCAGCTACTTTATTGATTTTCTCTTTTTATAACACAGGCACAGATTATTATTCAAAGCAGCATTCAAAGAGTATTTTTCTTGAGGGGATTTTTGCCTTTTTTATCAGACTTTTGAGAAATTGTCTAAAAGGTACTGTATGATGTTCTAATACATTTTACATGTTGCCAAATGCAAGCTATCAATTATATTTGAACAGGATTTGGTTGCGCATAGGTCAGTAGTTTGTGTGGAGAACAAAACAGGATTTACCTTTCCCATCATTCGATCTAGAAACCATTAGCAATCATAGCTATGATGATGATTTAGCTTTTTAAAACGTATCTGATTTATAAAACACTGACAAGCACCAAAAGCTAGAACACTGGCTGCACCAGAAGGCTGCATAAAAATGGGTTGTTACCCACAGAGACTAAGCGAGCAGAATAGCTGATGCTTGCATGGGTTTTTGCTAAACACAAACCCCCACCACAAAACAGTAACTACTGAACAGTAGAAGCAGTGAAGATAATAGGAAAATAATACAATATTAGTAAAGTTCATTATTTAATTCATTTAAAGTTAATTTGTATATCACCAAATCACTACATCAGACATCTCAAGGGGTTTTATACTGTAAGTTAAAATCCATACAGTATTTTGGAGAAGATCATAGTAATCAAATGACTCCCTGTGAGCATGAACTTTGTGATATTGGGAAGGGAACCTTTAGCAGAGTTGGGCTCAGGAAGGCTGCTGCGATGGCTCGGGGTTGAGGGGAAAGAGAACACAGGGAGACAGGAAAAAACACAGACTAGGAGAGATTGCAAACCAAATTTGAATTGCTGAATACACACGGGAAGTGAAAAGAAATGGAAAATGGAGAAGAAATACTCTGTGCATCACAGAAAGTCCTGCAGCAGTCTGACCCTATTGCACCATAACCAAGGGATGGATCAGGGCGCCCTGATCCAGCCTTAACTATAACCTTTAGCCAAAAGGCAAATTTTCAGTCTAATCTTCAAAGTAGAGAGGGTGTCTGTCTCCTGAATCCAAACTGGGAACTGGTCCCAAAGAGGAGAGGCCTGAAAGCTGAAGGGTTTGCCTCCCATTCTACTTTTAAAAACCAGGAACCACAAGAAAGCCAGCTGTCTGAGAGCGAAGTGCTCTGTTACAATATGAAATTATGTGGTCTTTAAGATATAATGGGGCCTTTTATGATGGGAGATTTTAAATTAAATTCTGAATTAAATAGGGAGCCAGTGAACAGAAGGTGGTATTGGAGAATTATAAACTTTTTTCGGATCTCTCTTAGTGCTCATACTGAAGGGGTTTGCATTAACTGGGGATTTTTAGAGAACTTCTTGAGAAACATGACAATGATGAATAATTCTTCAGCATCACTTAGCCAGGATATTTTAATTTTAGAGATGAACAGATAAGACCTACATGTTTGTTTAATATGTGCCCTGAAGGAAAGAAATGGTCAAAAATGAGTGTTACTGGAAGCCAAGATAATGCCATCCTGAGTATCTGGTTAGACATGTTTCTAATATTTTTTGGGCTAAGTGCAATTTAGATGCAGGAATTAGGAGATCATTCACGCCTTTGTGTCTTTAAGACATGCCTATAGTTTAACTACTTGATTTGTATTATCTGACTTAATCTAAATAGCAATTCAAATGGATGCTATATCTTCTAATAGCAATGTCTAAGAGTATATAATAGCAAAGGTGGGCTCAGATCTCTGTAATAAAAGTTTGTGGTCAACAGTATAAAATGCTGCACTGACGAGCACAGAGATGAGTCCACTGTTATAAGAATATCATTTGTAACTTTCACTAATGCTGTTTCTGTGTTGTGATGAATTCTGAATCTTGACTGAAACTCTTCAAATAAACCATTCCTCTGCAGATGATCAGTTAACTGTTTTACAACTATTCTTTCAAGGATTTGAAAAGAGGAATGTTGAAGATCGGTCTATAATTATCTAAGACAGGTGGATCAAGTGGTGGCTTTTAAGTAGAGGTTTAATTACTATTACTGTAGTACGTAGCCTATTGATAGAGCTAAATTAATCATATTTAGAATTGTAGCTTTAATTAATGGTAAGACCTCTTTGAAAGTCTTGTAAGAATGAAGACTGACAGAGATGTTGATGGTTTAAAGGACGAAATGACTGAAGTTATTTTAGAAAGATTGTTTCAAGAGAAAAAGTCTAAATAAATATCCATAGTATTGGCTACAGTGCTTAAAAGAAGGGTTGGATTTTTCCTGTTTTACTCAATCTGTGACAAATAGCTTTACAGAGGGCTTTTTATAGAGCAACAAACTGTGTTTCCATGCAAAGTGAAGATTTTCTAGATTAGTGAGCTCTTTAGCTGAGTTATCTGTTTTAAAGCGTATGTTTGTGGGTTATAGCAGGGAGTCAAGCATCTCTGATTTGTTGGTTTCTTTACAGAGGAGCCACAGTAATCAGGGCCATACACAGTGAGGATATTAACAAGATAATTAAGCTCTGGGAGTAAATTTTGGGTAGCTGTTCTGCATTGTGTTGTTACAAAGCATTAAAGAAGATAACAAAGAAGAAAGCACTTCTTTATATTTTGTTACAGCACTTTCCAAAAGACATGCAGTGCACTGAATTTGTTTTCCAGTGCTCTGTAGTCCATTATTATTTAACGCACTAAGTGTTATTAAGTGTTATTAAAACAAAAGGAGGGTTTTCAGGGGATACTGCTCAACGTTCAGTTTCTGTGCTATAAGTCAGGACAAAAGCCAGAGTGTGATTAAAACAGTGAGTGAGCTCATTTACATTTTGAGAGAAGAAAATTGAATCTAATAATAAATTAAATTCAATGTTGAGGCTGTCATTTTCAGCATCTACATGAATGATCACCCATTATAATTATTTTAACAGAAATGAGAACTGAATGTTATAAAGAGGGCCAAGTGGACGATGGATGACTACAAATAAAACAGTTTTCTTGTATTTTCCAATTAGGGTGTGCAAGGTTAGGAGTAAAGCTTTTGAATTAATTTTTAGTTGATTGATAACCTAGAGTGACAGATTGCTGCCACTCCTCCTCCTCAGCCTGTGCTTCAAGGAGTCTGACGCTTGATGTGACTTTGGGGTGTTGAGTTGTTTAAACTAATAAATTATGCCTTAGTAAGGTTCCTGTGAGGCAAAATAAATCAGTATTTTATCCATTACTAACCATTTTTATAAAGTAAAAACACATGTTAATACTTTATAATCACTAGATAATCAGGTTCCAAACAATACATGATTTTCCTTGTTAACTATTTTGAGTATACGGTATATTTAAAAAAAAAAAAAAGGTAAATACAATTTTAAGGCCCATGTCTGCAAGAGAATAGTTCATTTTTAATGTCATTTAAAACATTTTACTGGATGTGTCATTAAAAAACTGTTTGAGTCCCGTAGTGCCAGCTTTTTATGGAAACAGTTGACAAAAGCTTACTAAGCTCACAGAAATACTAGCCTGACGGCACTCCAATAGTGAGAGTGAATGTGAGAAGAGGCACAAGAGAACGAAATAATAACCACTAAGAGCTGAGGAGATAAAGGAAGACAGGAACAGCTAGATTACAGGGAGGTGAGCAAGATGTTAAGCATAGTCAGTACATGATGTTCTCTTTGAATAAAGTTTGTAGACATGCAAGAAGTCCCATTTTCAATGTTATTAGTGCGGAGTATCTAAAGTGATGGGAAAATAGATGTGAAGCTACAATCATTGCACTGAAGTGTATTATCATTTGAAAATGATTAAGTGGGGCTATTTTACTGTGACACTTTTTAAGATGTTCAATTTGATAAACGTCCTGATGTGTCAGGTGTTTCCTTTGCTGGGTTAACTCAAACCCAGCAAAGTGTCTCTACTGATATTCGCCAAAATAACTGGTGTATTATGTATGAATTTTGCAGCTTATCAATACCATGATGGATCACTGTTGCCACTCCAGTGGTGCTTTATCTCTCCCTTCATCTCTCTTTTTCCTCGCCTTTTTTCCACCTTGCAGGTGGGCTTTCACCCTGATCATCATTTCCTCCTACACGGCCAACTTGGCGGCCTTCCTGACCGTCCAGCGGATGGAGGTTCCCATTGAGTCTCCAGACGATTTGGCCGACCAGACGAACATCGAGTATGGCACGATCCACGGCGGGAGCACCATGACCTTCTTTATGGTGCGGCTCCGGTTGTGCTTGGGTTCGGAATTTGGGAATAATTATATGTGTGCTTTTATCCGTGTTAAATATTTGTTTGTGTAGCTGCTTGGATTGACTAACTCCCTAAATCGCTCTGATAGCAATTCAGGAAATAGTTGTTCATAAAGTTTTCTATGTGTTACATGTAATGGACCGCAGTGCTTCTCTCTTCATTGCTGAGAACGGAGTGAACGATTATCCTCATATTTGCCACTCTGTCTCTGAGTTTCTCTCTTGTTTTCTTTATGGCTGTTTGTGTTTGTGTTAAGTGGCTGACTGCCTGTGTTTGCTTATGAGAACGCTACCGGCATCTGTGTTGACATCTGTGTTTGTCATAGTGTGGGTGTGCGCATGTGTGTGTGTGGGTCTTGTATTTGTGTGTGGGTGTGTTAGTATAGAGGAGTGTGTGTAGGTGAGTGTTTAAAAAATGTATTTGTTTATATGTTGGTAAATGGCAAAATGCCAGTTAGAGTTTATTTTTCAGTCACTAGTGTTCGTCCAAATGGCGGATATAAGAAAGAATGGTGTGTGTTTGCCTACATAAGCCAGTTTCATTGCCACAGTACATTACCCCACTCAATACCTAATCCACACACGCATACACAATCTCATTGTTGTACACAGATGCTACCATCTATACCCTTTTCCTTTCTTCTCCCATACAAAGAGATACTACATGTAATTGTATATTTAATCCTGTTTTGGACCTTGCCATTTTTTGTTAAGTGCTGAACCACCTCCTGTGTGCCGATTTACTTCCATCTGTATGAAAGATGATGCATCAGCTACGCTGTGAGCAAATAATCTGTTGCTTTGCTTCACTTTCCTTTTTTCTCCCTCCACTCTCCGCGCTGCTTTTTCCCTGTGTTTGCTATTGATATTTTTACTCTGCTTGCCATTGTTCACACCTGATTTTCTCTCCTGTGTGTACTTCCCTTCCGGTTTATCTTTTTTTTTTTTTTTTTTAAATCTTTAATGCATCTCTTTCATATTCCTTCTTGTCGGGGAAACTTGTATATTCACCTGTAATTACTGCTGAATTGCCGTTGTTGTGTTCCTGTTTCCTCTGCAGAACTCAAGGTACCAGACCTACCAGCGGATGTGGAACTACATGAACTCCAAGCAGCCTAGCGTATTTGTGAAAAGCACGGAGGAAGGCATCGCCCGTGTGGTCAACTCCAAGTATGCTTTCCTGATGGAGAGCACTATGAACGAATATCACCGTGGCCTGAACTGTAATCTCACACAGATCGGAGGCCTGCTGGACACCAAGGGTTACGGCATTGGCATGCCACTAGGTAAAAATACTGCATCACAAAAAGTTCATGCAGCACCTGATAATGTATTACCTACTTTAAATATTTCTGTACGCAGAGAAATGTCTTAAAAATGTATCTCATAACTTTTTTAATTGCTCCAAGACTCCAAATATATCTATAAAGTTATGAAAAAGCAACTGGGAAGCTAGTAGAGATGTAACACTGTTCCCTTTTTGATAATTACAGACATTGCTGACGCATTTTAAAAGTGCTGTTTCACAGCTTGTGAACTAAAAGAATAACATGATGTAGTATTTAAAAAAATTATGCATGCAGATTTTTAGTTTTAATTATTCTGAGTGGTTCAAGTTAAAATATAACTGATAAAAAGCAACAGGTTTAATGTACCTGACTTGTGACTTGAGTTGCATCCATGTCATCAGCTAATTTGATGTTTGCATTAATGAGCAGTTGAACAGGTGTACCACATAAAGCGAAATACTGTGACTGAGCATCTACAACAGAGACCAGGCTGCTTAATCATAAGTGACAAGAAGCTATCTCGTTTCTAAAATTATACAATTATTTGACAAAAAGAAAAAAAAAAACTCATTAAATGACAGCGTGAGAAGCATGAGATCAATTATGCTAAATAGACACATGTAGTTGTCTGTGATTTGTGAGATTAGACCTGAAAATTGTCTTGTACGTGGTCGGTTTATTTTTTATCTGTGGGATTAGCAGCTATTTCAAATGGAAGTAACGTGCACACAGTTAATTGCTTTTCCACTCACGCCCAGCGCTCGTGATGCCACTTTTTAGCACTTAGATGAGATTGTCACTGAATCACAGTAATCTGTTCCTATGAAGAGGTCAGCCATATCTCACTGTCTATTATTGACCAAGGCTGTGGAGGAATGGAGAGAAAAAGCAGACACAGAATAAAGAAGGAAAGACCACAGACGTGAAATAAGGGACATAAGAGGGAAAAAAACAAACATATTATCCCACTCACCTCCAGGTAAGAGGCTGTTTAAATTTAAAGAAATAGGCAGATATTTTTACACTTGAATAATTTCTTGCTGGGAATTAGATGACAGATCTCCTTAAGGATATGCTATTAAAATCTCATTAGGGTGTCTACAGTTGCTGTTCATCAGCAAGCTGCTTGGCAACCCACCATAACCTCTGTTCTACCTTTTTGTTTCCTGTGCGTTATAACTTGTACCTGCTTTACTGGGTTGTCTTGCTGCATCTCTCCCAGCCTCCAGCTTTCTGTGTATCCACATAGAAGCATGGGAAAGTGGTGGGAGGTGATGCCAAATTTATATTGCTGCAGTCATTAGTTGTCCTGATTGAAATCGTTTTTTTTCTGGCGGGAGGTTGGTGTTCTCCAGCAGTGACTTAGCGAAGGAGGCATGATAATCACTGAACAACTGTCAACACTTTCTATAGAGACTGTTTATGTGCAGAAGGCCTGTCTAATAAAAGCTGCCTGTTGATTATCTTCACAGCTAAATACCATTATGCTAAAGAAAACATATTTGTCATTTGCACAGACGGAACCTTTAAACCCTCTAAATCTGGTCTAGCATATCTGGTTTGCTGCATACTTTGTATGCTATTCAACCAGCTGCTGAACCACTGTGTCCGTCTAGTTGTTATCTTGCTGTCTATCTCTTACTAATCCTCTCTTTATTCTCACCATAAGATCACTTCTAGCCATCTCCAAGCTGCAGCGGCAATTCTCTTTTTCTGCTTAGTCTCTTTAACACTTAATCATTTCATGTTTTTCCCCTTTTTCTGAAAAAAAAATCTCTCCCTTGTCTGGTCTCTTATGCTGCACCTTGCCCACCACTTGCTCTTATCCTGCCTTCTTGTTTTTTTCCAGGATCTCCATTCAGAGATGAGATCACACTGGCCATCCTCCAGCTGCAGGAGAATAACAGGCTGGAGATACTAAAGAGGAGGTGGTGGGAGGGAGGCCAATGTCCCAAAGAGGAGGACCACCGTGCCAAGGGTGAGTCGACCGCAGCTGTCTGCCTCCGTTGCCTCCTTCTCTCTAATGTCCCCAGTAATAGTCTCCTCACTCTCTGCTACCGTCCAGCTAATGGCTAATGCCTAACCTAATGTCCTTGCGAAGGGTACTTAGCACAATCTACTTTCCCAGATGTCTTCTGTTTGTCTCAGGTGGTGCATAATGTGAATTTTATTGGAGGCAGTGTATCTGTTTACATGTGTGTATTAAGAGTGTGTATATGTGTGGGCAAAGCTTCTGCATGAATGACAGAGATGATGAAAACATCTCTGCGTTTATGCCACTGATGTCAGATGAAAATCTCTTTTAAAAATTATTTTGCTAACAAAATGCTTCAGTTCAGGCATTTCAGTATTGTTACACTTTATCAGTGCAGTTTATCTCAAACCCTTCAGGGCCCTATAATTCTGTTTGTCACTCAAGCACTTCATTCCAGGCAATTTAAATTTGAAACTCAGATGAAAGAGTACTGAGCAGTGATTTAGGATTACACTCACATTAAGTTTTTGGTTATTACTGTGGGTCAAGCTGTAGAAGATGGAAGGTCTAGTACTTTCCACAACGCAGCATGGTAGCATCTTTGTTAGACCACTTACTTCCAGCAGATTATCAATTAGAAAATATGAATCATGCAAAATTTACATTATGAATATTATGACAATTAAGGTGTTTTCTGATACTTAATCAACAGCTGAAATAGAAATCTGTACAAGAACAGTAGCATCAAGCTAGAGTCTGGTTAGCTTAGCTTAGCTTAGCATAGCGCAAAAAAATAGAAGATAAAAATAAGCAGCCTGCGACTATCAGCAGGTTTAAAGTGCACACCATTAGTTCTCCCATCACATAGTTAGGTCGATTTGTGTTATTTAACCTCTGTACACCACCACAGTGGATTTTAAATAAAACTGTCAAGATGTGATTGAAGTGCGTACTTTTAACTTCAATTCATGTGGTTTAACAAGACATTTAATGAGTATTACATTATTTGTTTAGAGATTACAGCAACATTTTATATAAAGTCACTCATTTTCAGAGCCTCAAAATTAATTGGACTAACATAATTTGAAATACAGGGACTGTTTTTAATACTTGGATGAAAATCCTTCAAGCCATTGACTGTCAGAAATCCATGGATGTCATCAAATTCTGCATTTCCTCCTTTAAAGGACTCTCCCAGGCCTCTGCGGCAGTCACTTTCACTTGCTGCTTATCTGTGGGTATATTTAATAAAAGAATGCTCTGTTTGGTTTAGATTAGGTGACCGACTTGACCAGTGAAGAATAAACCCATTTCTTTGCCTTGAGAATTTCTTGGGTTGTATTTTCAGCATTAACTTGTGAAGCACTGCCCGATCAATTTTGCAGCATTTGTCAGAATCTTTCTTTCTTTTTGCTCTACATTTTTCTTCCTCTCACTCTGGCACAAATGAATCTAAGTTTTCCCGTTTAAACATTTATTTTCCAGATATCTACAGACTCTTTATTTGTTGTGTGGAAAATACTAATCTGGCCTTCTTGTTCTTGAGTGTAACTACTAGTTTGTAGCTTATTGTAAATGCTCTGTATTTGCATTCATGAAGGCGCCTCGTAATTGCAGACTTTGACAAAGATACACTTACGTCCTCGCGAGTGTTCTTGACTTTGTTAGATGTTGTGAAGATGTTTTTCTTAACCATGGAAAAAAATCTGTCATTATCCATCTTATTTGTCTTCTGTGGGTTTTCAGGCCCTCTGGTGTTGCAGAGCTGACCACTCCAACACCAAAAGACAGACTTAATTCTTCTTAAGAATGTATCAGATTTTTGATTCGGCCACGCCTAAACTTTTTGCTCTTTATCTAGGTTTATTTTTCTTTTTTTAGCCCAGTGATGGCCTCCATTACTTGCACTGACAGCTCTTCAGGCTCTATTTAAAATGACATTGAAAAGCTATCTAATGCGAATTCAACACTTTGAGCCAAAGTCAGATATTATGTTGGCTTCTTTTAACATGAAATAATGAGGGAAATAATAATGCGGTGGTGTACAAATGCAAAGGTAGAAAAATTGTGTCTTTGCCCATTATTGTCCTCAGTGTTTGTACTTGAACCTTGCCGTACACTGTTCTCTTCTCTACATTCAACTTAAATTGCACGTCTTTTTGTTATTTTGTTCCTGTTTTCTTTAGTTATTTTTCATCATTATCTAAAGTGAGCCTAATGATAGTTGTAATAGTTGGTGCTGTATGTGGTACAGATGGCAAAGCCTCTTGAGGCAAATGAACAATTAGTGCACTGATAGCAAAACAAGGCAATTTTGGCCTCATTTTTTTAGGTTAATGATTTTAAAAGTCAAGCTTTTTCACCGTGTTTTATTATAAATTAACTTAATTGTTTTCAGTTAATGAGTTATGTTTTACTAACCTCATGTTATTAAGTTAACCTAAAAAACAATTATAGAATAGAATAGCCCTTTATTGGCGATGTACATGTACATTACCATTATGGATAAGTAAGCTAACCTTGATATGTTTTAGTCCCTTTTGCGCAAAGGCCCATGGCATCATGATCTGCATTTTTGCTCAAAATTGTACTTTTTTTAATTCAAAGTTTAATTCACAGCATTGTACTTTTAAACTGAGCCAAACTTCATTCTCACCAACACGGCAGGTCATCAACCCTGCAGCTCACTTCCCTTAGAGTATCAAAGCTGTAACAATCTAACATGAAAGTAAATGAAACACAACCTCGATGCTTTAACAATAACAGTAACAAACATCAAAAACAATGTCCTATTACATAACATGCTTAATATTTCAGCTCTCTTTGCTGACACACTCACTCATGTCTGGGCTTAATAAAGCACAGACTACAGCTGACAAACAGGTGTCGGTTTATCTTCCTTCCTAGTCTCGTTTTTTGATCGTATGTACAATCGTTTCTATTTAGCATGCACAATTTTGAGCAGCTGCACATTAATACTTTCCTATTATCCTTCACCACGTGCACTAACTGAATATTAGAATGCACACATTCAGAATAGTCGAATATAATCATAAATCTATTCAATCATTTATAAATAAAATTATATAAGTTAAGTAAGAGACAATGAATCATAATTGCCAGAAGTGCTCCTTCAACTATGTCTTTTTTCACTGTGCTTGTAAACCTCCTTTGACAATAAACATTTGCCCATTATGATGCATTTGCGCACGTATGTGCTAATCTTTGTCTCCTGTGGCCTGTTGTCAAGGTCTGGGCATGGAGAACATTGGGGGCATCTTCGTTGTGCTGATCTGTGGCCTCATTATCGCTGTGTTTGTGGCCATTATGGAGTTTGTGTGGTCGACACGCCGCTCGGCAGAGACTGATGAGGTATGCCCCCATACCTGCCCTCGCCGACCCCACAGACACACCCCAGTAGGTTCCCATGGCATCCCGCCATCCCTTTTGATTATGTTATTTGGTGTGTGTCCATGTGTTGTGTTCGTGTGTGTGTGAGAAAGAGAATGGATGGGTTACTTTTTCAGCTTTTGCCTCCATTTGTATGTGTTTGTTTGTGCCGTAACATTCAAGGTTCACTGTGTTTTGTGCATGTGAGATGAGAGGAATGTTTAAGTACGTGGCTCTGACCTGCTGTAGCGTTCGAATTTTACGACAGCTAGAGAATCTAATCGCATGTTCTGCCTGTTTTGATTTCACTGTGCCCTTTTAGTGTTCGGTGTTTAACAGTATGGCAGCAAGTGTTTGTGAGCTAAACATGATAGTTGGATAAGCAATATTGAGAAATGCCAATATTTGCTTGCATAAAGAAGTAGTGTGAACTTTTTTCCCTGGCATTAAATGTCATGATGTATCTTCTTTTACATGCCTCACATGTACGCTGGTATTCTTCGTTTCCATTGTTGTGTGTATTGCTTCTCACTCATGTCATTGTGCGTCTCCCTCTGTCTCTCTCTCTCTCTCAAACGCACACACCCACACACCCATGCACACACACACACTCTCCTCCTGTCATTCGGCCATCAGTGTGTGTTCTCCAATAACGAGTACTGTTTCTGTTTATGTGAGCACATGACTTTTTATAAATCATGCTTTCATTGAGAATGTGGTTGGCCTGTAGTGGACACGTTGATGCATTTTGTTAGTCATGTGTGCGTATCGCAGTAGTCATGCAGCTGGAATGATGATGAGTATTGGTGGATGTGAAAGTTTGGTTTAGAATGTGTTTATGTGTGTGTTTATGTGTGTGTTTGTGTGTGTGTGTGTGTTTGAGGCTGTGCACAGTTGCTGTACGAGTGAATGCTTCTGTATTTGTGCGCCTGAGTGTGCCGGCCTGCCTGTCCGTTCATGGTGCCATAATGAAGTGCCCATAAACTAAACATTTTGCTGTTCCGTGTGTTTGGATTGTAATAACTCTCTCTGCTTCTTGGATATTCTCCCATCTCTATCCATCCACACATCCTTCCTATGACCTCTCCATTTATTTTCAAACCATCTTTCCATTTGTTGGTCTCTGCGCCCTCGCTTCTCCTGCTCCTTTTTGTTTACCATGCCCACTGTGTCTGTTCTGCCTTGTTGCCGGCTTGTTCTTTTTGTTTTGCTTTTCCTTTCAATTTTCTTGTTCTCCCTCCGCTCTCCTATTTATGTACTGCCTTACCACTTGTCTTGTTCTGCTGCCTGCCTACTTTGTGTCTATGGCACCTCCTCCCCTGCCTTTGCCTCCTTTCCTCTTCCTTCCCTTCCGTCTTTCTTCTTTCCTCCCTCCTTCCGTACGTCCTTTAGGTGTCTGTCTGTCAGGAGATGATCACAGAGTTCCGAAACGCCGTCTCCTGTAAAAAGAGCTCTCGAATGCGCCGCAGACGGCCCCTGAGCAGCTCAGCAGCCTTGCGTCACCCTACCCGCATTGCTCTGGGGGCCCCTCGGCCCCTGCGCCTGGTCCGGGAGATGCGGCTCAGCAACGGCAAGCTGTACAGCGGAGCTGGCCCCCTGACAGGTGGAGCTGGAGGGGGAGCCGGAGGAACGGGGCAACCAGATCTGGGCCCTGGGCCCCAAAGGATCCTAGATGATCCGCTTGGAGCCAACACCACCCCACCTCCACCTGCCCCCACCCCTGTGATGCTGCCTGCGCGCAGCTGCACCCACGTGAGGATCTGCCAGGAGTGCCGAAGGATCCAGAGCCTTAGATCAGGTAGCAGTATAGGATCAGCGTCAACAAGAATACCCCCTTCATCCGCCCCCCTGCCCCGGATACCTCCACCCCCACCCCCATCCTCGTCCAATACAGACAGTGAGGGTGGAGGCGTGCCCAGCCCAAGGCGACTACATCACAGCCCCCCAGCTCATACCCCTCGACCCATTCCACCTCCGCAGAGCAGCAACACCTCAGACCTTCTTGGGGACCAGGACTGAGGAATGAAGCGAGTGAGGTAGAGGGGTGAGATATATGGGTGAGGGACATTTGTGCTGCTTAGAAAAAACACTGTTTCCACTGATCAGATTCATCCGAGAACTGAAATGTTTGAGATGAGGGAACAAAGGAGTAAAAAAAAAAGAAAAAAAAAGAAAAAGGAGTTGAACTCATGATAAGGCCAGCCAACACGGAGCGAGAACGAGAAGAAACATGGGGGACCAAGACTTCATCCACTTCAGAACTGAAGACACAGAGAGGTGGTCATCGGTTAAGTGTTTGCATTTGGCTAAGAAGAACAGTTCAGTTTGGATAAAAGAGAGAGGAGATGCACATGACCACGCGTCAGTGCCCGCTGGCCTCCTTTTGTCTCCTTACTCCCCTTTCGTGTCACTTCTCATTTGAGGGTCCTGGTTTTCTTTCACGGACACTTCACTGGAAGCTAACCAGCCCTTTACTGAAATGAAGCCTTGCTGGTGGACATACTGTATCTGTATGTGGTTTTAAAACAGCAACTGACTTCCAGAGAATTTATTCCTGATGTTTTTTTTCTGTTGTCTTTTTGTTACCATTGTTCTAAGTGGGAATTTCAGAGTTAAATAACAGACTACGTGTGACAATATGGTGGATTATAACATACCAAGACACTTGACAACAGCTAATTGTGTTCGAGAGTTTTGTGCCCCTCCCTGTGCCCCATAGCTGCTTTTTGGATGGGATCGGGGAAGCTGGATGAAACGACTTCAAGGCAACGTAATGCAAACGGTAGCAGAGAAAACTGTTGGTCTGCCTTTCTTTACACTGTGTGTGCGTGTGTGTGTGTAAAATTTGTGCTTCCTGTAAGTCTGTCCGTAACTGCTCAAAACGAGGAGAACCGTGTACCCAGCAACAGCTTCTTTCTACCAATGTTAGATATTCAGACCGACACAAAAAGGGAGAGAGAGGGAGCGAATGAGCGAGCGAGCAAGAGGCTTTGAAATGTGAAATTAATGTCCCTCGTTATCCTGGGTAACGCTTGCCAAGCCCTTACTTCTTTTTCACCTCTGTTCACACCATGTAGACAAGATAGAGAGACTGGGCGAGTCAGAGACAGAGAGGCAAGATAGAGACGAGCAGGAAAAGAGGAGGTGGAAAGAGCCAGAGAGTTAAAAAAGGACACTACTGAATTTGAATAAGAATTCCCTCACTGAACTACTTCCATTATTAGATCTGTCCTGATCTGTTAATTCTGGGCATCTTTTAAGGGGCTTGTTAATGCGCCAGCAGACTATAAATGCGGCTTCCTCCCATCTCTCTGTTCGACAGGCTATCTTGGCCGTCCACAGCAGCGGCTCCTGCCAGTATGATAGACTCAACACAGCCTTGTCAATACCGTCTCAAGCTTTTGATCACCTAATTACTCCCCTCAGTGGCTGGGGACCCATTCAGGAGGGGGTCGAATGCAGGGAAACGCGCTGATAAATAGATGTAGAAGAAATGTTTTTTCTCTCTGGCTGGGAAGCGAATCTGTTTTAATTATGTTGTTAATGTTATAGCCTTACAGTTTTGTGAAACTCCAATGAAAACAGACTCTAGTGTACAAGCAAAGTGTGCCTAAAGGGAGAAATACTGGTGGGTTTGCATGTTTTTGCCCTTTTGCTTTAAAACTTGTTCAGTTTTTGCTCAACATACAAGACCTTTTTAGACCAGCTTCAACAACTGTGGCACAAAAGACATTACATACAACAGTTATCAGTCTGGATTTTTTAATTGTCAACAAATTGCAGTTCAACTAGGGGACATGTTCCTTTGTATCGACCCTGTTAAATACTGACTGCAACAACCAGTGCCTGAAAATAGTCCCCCAGTAAATATAGCCTTTACTATTCTTTCTCCAACATCTGCTAAAAACTGCAGTTCCCAGCTGTGTTGCCTTTTTAAAATGGGACTGCACTCCGTGTTTCAGCGGGAATATAGACATTGTTTACTAATTCTCCATCTTCCTCTATTTGTGGGCACTGCCGCCGTCGTATTCACTCAGATGCAGTGTAGTGCTCGGCCTGTTGTGGTCTAATGGAAAAAAAAAAAATCAGACCAGCTTTATGTCAGCAGTAAATCCAATTATTTACATGAATGCGAGAGAGGCAGCAGGCGTGTTGTTCTCCTTAGATCAAATATAAGCGTAATTAATTTTACACGCTGCCACGGTATAGTGTATGTATACCTCTGCCGAACAGTTCATGTTATGTTTGCATGATTAATGCAGACATATTACTCAGAATGTTAATGTTCCATTATTATCATGTGCAGCATTTGCATTTTCTACAGGTCACTGACTCGATGTGCATTGAACCTGTTGCCCAGTCAGTTTCCAAATTAATCCCTGCTGAATGATTCTCTACTTAGTGGACTGGGGGCGTTCGATACACCCACTTAGTTGTGGTTAGTGTACTTACAGTGACAGTTGTAATAAAGTCTTTCTGGAACACCAACATTCAAGATGTAAGAGTTAGCAAATGCAACGGTTATAGTATAAGACAGCGTCTGTGTTTTGTTATTGGGTTTCTTCACAGATTGATTTCCTGACAGAGTTTATGAATGTAATGCTTTAGAAGCTGATTCCTAATTGTTGGAAAACACAGTGTCCCCGCTCCCTGCCCGCATCAGTATCTTTCTTTTTTGTCTCCCTCTTGCCCGTAGTTTGGAATTGCCGTTCTCCAACGTAAAGATGTGTCCCCTATTATCTTCCAAATCCCAACTGCAGCATCCCATAACCAGCAGTAATGCTAAGTGTGTAAGATAATGTGCAAAGCCACCAGTTCACCCTTTACAAATCCCTCAGAAAAATGAAGGCATTGTTGTCTAGACTAACACTGCATTGCTATATAATGTTATGCATTTTGCGGGGAAGCAGGTTTGTTGACACTGTTGTGCTCCAGATAACGAATGATAACATTGTTTGCACACATTATGCCGTTTCTTGTTGAATGATTGCTGTCAGCAGAAGCAGGCTTGATTTGATGCCTCTCTCTCTCTCTCTCTGTTTACTTCTGCCTTTGTGTCCAGAATGCTGACAGGAGCGAACCTTTTTCACAAATCTTTACAGCACACACAAACAAAAACACACTCATCCGCTACGCCTTCGTCTCCGATTCCTTTGTTGTCTAAAGGCTGTAAACCCACCGGTTGTTTGTTGTTTTCAAAGTTGTCTTCTGAGTTTCTTTAATGACTTCCATGGTTCATACAAGCTCCGGAAACCTGATGTGTGACAGTACCACACAGCCATCAAGTGGCCACAAACAGCTTTAAACCATCAGCTGAAAGCATTTACAAGCTGCGGTGCATTATTGTGGAGAAGCGAGAGGAAGGTACAAGCCCTAAAAAATACATTCAAAAAAAAAAAAGCCAAAATATTGCTAGTATTAATCTAAATGGGAAGGGAGGGTCACAAAACAGATCCAATGGGATGTCTGAACATTCACTCCACGAAACAAACATTTGTTTACTTTTATGTTGCTTTCTTTGGTATTTTTTCATATTTCTATACTAGTGCTAAATGGATTATTAAAACTAATGACTATTATGATGAAATTGTTATTATTACTATTGAAGACGAGAGGCTCTGTGGTGTGTGTGTGTGTGTGGGTGAAGGGTGGAGGATGGGAGGTGTTGGGATGAAGGTGAAATGATGTTCTTCAGAGCCCGCCCTGTTGTTCAAACCTATAGACAGACAGACTTCTTTTGGAATAAAAATATTCAAACAGTCCCACAGTGGTACGTGTCTTTGCTTTTTTTAATAGATAGCTCACTGATATCATGTTTTTATTCTAATAGAGGGATGAAGTGATTTAGTTAAGGGCCAGATTTAAGAAACAAACAACTCTTTCAGTCATTTAGGCCCTCAACGTCAATAAATACACAGTAATGTGAAATAGAGAGTTTTGATAGGATGATATCCTGTTAAAAGTACAACCAGTGATTCAGTAGTTTGCAGAACTACTTTCAGCAGCAATAGCCTCAAGTAATTGTTTTCTCTTTGAAGTTATTCTTTACAGCATTACTCCTGTTCATTGAGGTTTGCAGACATTGGTCCCTGCACAGCTTAAGATCAGTCATGTTGAGGTCTGGACTCTGACCGGGCCATTGCAACACCTCTATTATTTTCTTTATTTAGTACTTCTGTTGTAGATTTGCTGCTGTGCTTGGGATTATGTCCTGTTCTTTCTCCTGGCAACCCTTCAAAACAAGCCATATTTCTTCAGCTTTTTTCTAATTGTACTGTCATCAACTTTAACATTTAAAATGCCCACTAAGGCCTGTAGAGTCTGAGAGGTAGCTCTTGGGTTTTTGGTTTTATGTAATATCTCTGAGCATTGCAGAGTGTGATCTTGGGGTGAATTTGCTGTGACGTCCACTCCCAGAGAGATTGTAGCACTGTGTTAACACACACCTGAATGCTCCAGACCAGCAAACTGCTAAAACTTCTGCTTTTGTAGAGGTGCTCACACTTGCTGATGATCACTTAATCAAGCTGATTTGATTAGCACCTCCTGGCTGCTACCTACCCTGTTAATTCTCATGTAAACACTAAGGGTGTAGTTAGTTTTTCATAGCGCTGCATAGAGGCCAGTGAAAACTTTCTTTTTCACATGCCTGTGTGACACAACACCTTCTGATGCTGGTTTTACTAAATATTTTGACCAAACTGAAGACCTTATATG